CCATTATGTTATCTGAATAGGGGATGCTCTGCCGTAGGCTGAGGAAGGTTCACATTTCCATTTAAAAAAAAAAGGAACCCAAGATTCAAAAGCTGGTTCTATTATTGTTGTTATCATATCTTGGTGTGCCTTTTTATCTTCTTGGGTTTAATGGGAGTAAAGTTGAATCAAGTTGTATTGGAGTCGTCACCCAAAAAGAAGAAAAAAGTTGAATATTATGGAAACTTTAAAGCATTAGCCTTCCCACTAAAATACAGCTGCCTCAGTAAGCAGCAGGGGTCCAATGCTTTTAAAATGCTAAGAGCTTCGGCTTTTGGGCAAATTTCTTGTTCTTCTTTTCTACCCAAAAGAAATTCCTGTTTTGTGCTCCAACGCCTGTGTTACAGCCGACGCAAAAGATGAAGGAAAAGGTCTACAAGCCACCGCGGAAAGCGAAATAACCACGGTAAAAGCAATAAAGTGAGGCCAGCCTTCTTTGAAATTACTTGTATGGCCAACTGGCCATGGTCTCCATGTTCTTCCTTTTTCTGGGTGGTTCTATTTTCTCTGCAGTGTAGTTTTTCATTGATAATAAATGATATTATTAATGAGGGTTCATAGGTTTACACAGACTATATTACTCATTCATGTCCTAAATATAAAATTCAGATAATTAATTTACATGTATTTAAAAAATTAGTTATTTATTAAAAAAAATATGTTGGTTTTTTCTAAAATATCACATTTATTACTTGAATTAAAAGTTATCTCATAAATAAAAACCCATTTTAATATATGTAAACAATAAGGTATTATGAACTCAAGTCCAAAACATTGAGGTTGATAACATTGAAGGTCTTTTGATTTATAAATTACCTACACTTGTAAGGCTCTCTGCTATTCATAACATTGGAATAGTTCGGAAAAAAAATTGTATTTTTGGTTGACAAAATGGATTAAAGATTTTGTACTTAAAATTAAAACAAACTTTATAATTAGCCGGCTCTTGCATTTAGAATCAAAAGGAGTAATAATTTAACCACATAGTAGCATTTAGTAAGATCTAAATATACTTTTATATAATTTAAATCCACACATGCACACAAACTAGTTAACATCTAGTTTGAGTCTACGACCTCATTCAAATGTGATGGATGGCACTAGTACTGGGCAAACTTACAATTTACAGATGTAAATATACTGGGTAACAAACACGAAAGCAATGTTGGTCCCATGCTTGGCTGAAAAATAAAACCAAATGCTAGTACAGCGGATTTTTATAAATGATACTCCTCCGGTCCTTAATATAGGACCCAATTGTTGAGTTGGTTTTGGTCCTAAATATAAGATCCATTTTTCATATTTATCAATTTTCTCTAAATTACCCCTATAAATATTCCCTAAACCATAATCAAGTAGAAAAGGGAGAAAGGTATTAAGAAAGATGATAATGGTGTTTTAGAAAAAACATGTCACATTTCTTATAATTAACTAACTTACCTAACTCCCTTAATCTAATCAAATTAATTAAATAGGTTTTATATTAAGGATCGGAAGAGTAAAACGTTCAGCTTGAGGGATGATAGGCTTTGACTGAGGTGGAAGTAGACAATAGACAAAATAGTTGCCTGTTGGAGTAGTTCACGAGAAAGGTGGAAGAAGATTAGTAGGCAATATGGATAATGGGATTAGGATATTGAAGGTGAAGCATTGGATGGACATCCTCTTTCACGTGAAGCTTTGGCCATTCCTCTGTCACCATCTTCAGTGGTCCATCTCTCATAAATTTTTATGGTTTTTGTGCTTGGGAACGTTCATGTGCCCTCCACTTTGCATTCAATTCGATCACCAACTTCCCCACAACGTATGAAAAATACTCGTCCGGTTTTTAATATGAGACTTTTTTAATTAATTTGATTACATTAAGGAAGTTAGGTAATTAGTTAATTATAAGAAATACTACCTCCGGTCCTTAATATAAGACCCCGTTTGACTTTTTGTTTGGTCCTAATTATAAGACCCCAATCCATTTTTTTCTCATATTTATGCATTTTTTTCCAAGATAGTTCTTCTAATAATGATAGTTTTAGCCAATACACTTAATTAGCAAGGATATTTTAGGAATGACAACACTTATTTATTACAAATAACTAATTTAACTTACTTCATTAATCTCCTCAAATAAGTCAACTGGGTCTTATAATTAGGACCGGAGGTAGTATGACATGTTTTTCCTAAAACATTATAATCATCTTTCTTAATATCATTCCTTCCTCACTTACTTGATTATGATTGAAGGAGTATCCATGGGGTAATTTAAAAAAATTAATAAATACAAGAAATAAATCTTATATTTATGACTAAAATTAACTTAATAATTAGATCATATATTAAAAATCAGGAAAATATATAATATCTAACTTGAGAGGCACGTCATTCAGAATTTCTTGGGACTCCCCCCCCCCCTCCCCTCCCTCACTGCTCTTTCTCGCACCTCTCAAACATAATCCACAAACCAAAATGACTTTGAGATTCTCCATGTCCCAAAGGTTCTTTATATTGCAGAGATTTGTGTGAGTTCCACTTCCACGCCTTTTATGCCCCAATTTTTTTTACTCTCTTTTCTATGCAAAACTCCTCCTGCTATTTTTCATCAAGTCATATGACAATCAATGTAAGAACCTTTTTTAATTAACTAGTTAAAAATTTAATTTTTACTTCTTATGCATGAAGCAAACCTAATAGGAATGCTTTATTTTGTCTCTGTAATAAAAATAACAAGCATTACCCTATTATATGGGTTCCACGACACCGTGTGATTGTACTATATTAATAACCAATGCGAATAGATTGTTGAATAAAAAGTTTCGCTTAATAATTTTATCTAATTTATCCTTTCTGGTGGGATTTCTAATAATCTTTTTTGTATATTTTTAAACCACTTCAAATTTCGTTTATTCTCTTTGGTATCTCAAAGAATATTAATCCCTACTTCTTATGCATGAAACAAACCTAATAGGAATGCTTTATTTAGTCTCCACAATAAAAATAACAAGTATTACCCTATAGGTTTGAATACACTATGTGATTGTACTATATTACTCCCTCCGTTCTTTATTATAAGAGACAAATAACCAAATTATGTTGATAAAAAAAACAGTTAATATTACTATATTAGTTATGGACAAATAATATGTAAAAAGTATAATTTTTTTCCAACAACGCCCTCATTAATAAGGAGAGAAAGTATGAGAGAGAATAATTAAATTATTAAAAGAAAGAGAAGTGGGAGGGAGAGAGAGTATGAGTTGGAGACAAAATAAATAGGAGTAAAATAGAAAATCAATACAAAAAAATAGAGACAACTTTTAAGTGTCTCTTATATATAAAAACATGTTATAAACATCAAATGTCTTTTGGAATAAGAAACGGATCGAGTAATATAACTCACCGTGAATAAATGGTTAAATAAAAAGCCTCGTTTAATAATTTTATCTAATTTGTCCTTTCTATTAGGATATCCAATCATCTTCTTTGTGTATTTTTAAACTACTTCAAGCTTCGTTTATTCTCTCTGGTATCTCAAAGGATATTAATCTCTACCACAGCCGAAGAATATTCTTTTTTATATCTCATCAAAAGTCTTTCTCTCTGTTTTTTTTTTTTTTTTAAGAAAAGCCTCCTAGACACAAGAATCTTGGTTCCAACACCATAAAACTTTAAGCTGACTTTTGTTGGGGAGTGCTCCATTGCACCTGAATAAAATTGATTACGAGGGGAATCTTATAAACATAATAAAAATATATCTTATTTTAAAAATTGTCACCCATACTTCTAAGTATACTGGTATATTTAATCAGCTTAAATTTTGACCAGGGAGCTTAAATTCTTTTCGAAATTTGTTTCAAGACTTTTGTAGGGTTTGATGTCAATAATTAGTGAATTATAGAAGGTACAAAATCTCATTAATTGGCAATATTTACTGAGGAAGGGTGGTTGATGGTTTGATTAGCTTTTATGCGAATCTGGCTGATCTTACCAAGAAAACAAATTAAATGCTTGTTCTTCGTGCTAGCATTAATTCATTCTGCATAAGTGTTTTAATTTCTATGATAAAAAGGACAATGTTCAATAAAGTATCACCCACAACTTAAAATCGAGATTTTAGTGGTATTTCTAACATTACCATTACATCCTTTGTGCGCCACTTATTATAAGATTTAAATAATTAAATTATATAGTTTGAAAAATGTTAAAATTAATTAAAAATGATAAATATGTAAGAAATGTATTGTTTGAATATGTCATTATTTATAAGTGAATAAATGAGAGTAGTAATAATAAGAAAAATGATAAAAAAAAATATATGAAAAAAATTAATTAAATAAAATTGATAAAAATATATTTAATGTTTAAACAACGAGTTAAAAATAAATCTTAAAAAACCGATAAAAGGATTTAAAAATTTAAATATTGTAAGAAGGAAGGCAGCAACTAAAGTGCCTCAGTTTCCTGTCAATTTTGTTGAGGGAAAAATCTTTTTGGCGTTATGCTATGATTGATTTTATTATTCTCACATCACATGCTTGTTGCCAATTTTAGAATCAACCATAGATGTCTAGATTTATTTTAATATTTTACTTAATAAAGTTATAGAAATTCACCAATTCTTAATTCCGCACTACTCACCAAGCCATTGATTTAATTTTGGGACTATGACAAAAAAAGAAGTTAGAATTTTATAAATGCTAAATAAAAAATGTTAACAAAATTTTGTTGTTATTTGTAAATTTAGACTTGCCAATATCAAATAAAATTGTGTTTCCAAATCTAATTTGAGATTTGCAATTTTTATCTTTTTTTTTTGTCATTCCCTCTTTAATTTTTAATCCTAGATTAGCATCCAATATTTTTTTAAAAAAAAAAGTGTAATTAAACTAAAATATTATTATTAATCTCAAATGGGATCGCACGGCAAAGAGGTCAAACCAGATTCTTGAAAAAGTCGAGCTTTTTATGGAGACTAGCCCCTCACATGTTCCTGCGTCGTCAGCTACCACTGAGCAAAAGTGAACCACGCCGTTGCAGAAAAGGGCACAAGTAAGTCATTCAATACAACGTCTTTCAATTTTCACCATTTCTTCTCCTTCTTCTTTCTTCACCTCACAATCCCAAAATAACCCCTTCTCACCTTTAATGCAAAATTGGAACCACCCATTTCATTTCAGCTCAATCTGAAACTGAAACCCACTATGGCCGCAATTTCCCCTTCCCTTCGCTTCACGGCACTTGCTTTTTCCCTCGTCGTCTTCCACCAAACCCTAGCTTCCCACCCAGTCTCTTCGTTTTCGTTTACGGATTTTCAACAAGACCCGGAATTCAAGTCTACTGTGGCCCTTTTTGGCAATGCGAAGATCGTGAAGGATCATGATGGCTCTGCGATTCAACTTTCTGGCACCGGACGAGTCATGTACGAGAAACCCATCGAGCTTTTGCAAGGTAAATCAAGAAAATTAGTTTCTTTCTCAACTTACTTTGCACTTTCCATGGCTGTGGAGGGAGAGAATGGTCTGGCTTTTGTTATAGCTTTCGGTAATGATAGCTTATCTGGGTTTTCTTCTGGATTGACAAATAGAAGCTTTCTGGGTAATACTCTTGAAGTAAGCATTTTAAGAGATGGTCACGATAGAAATGGTAGTTCAGTTATAGCCAAGATTAATGACACTGCTTCAACTGTGAAAATGGGTCTGAAAAGTGAGAAGAAACTTCATGTTTGGATTGATTATAGAGCAATTTCTTCCCGCTTAGAAGTCAGGTTGAGTCAATATGACAATTCAAGGCCATCTCATCCATTTCTCTGGCACAAAATCAACTTGTCAACCATCAAAGAGAATAAGGAAATGTTTGTCGGCTTTAGCACAGTGAAGGAGAACTCGTCTGAAACCTGTTTTCTCCATTCATGGAACTTCACGTCAAGGCTATTCCCACATTGGATACACTCAGAGCCTCTGGATCCAAATGCTCTTGATAGGAAGAGTGAAGATCTGAGAGAACCAAAGTGTGATTGCTTTTTCAGAGTTGTTTCTGCGATGCTGATTGGGGCTGGATTTGGAGGATTGATCGGTTTCATTGTGCTATTTTGGAACAGGATTAGGGATAAAAGACCAGTGGTGCCAGAGGAGTGTGTGGATAAGGAATTTGGATACAAGAAAGTGAACATAGTTGCAGACAAAAGTGCCATCAATGTTGGTGTGAAGAAGTAGGTGATCCTGTCTTTTCAAGTTGGATTCATTTGTCTACGTAAATTAGTCCTATAAACATTGGTGTATCTAAACTCTATGCTCAAGCTTTTCGGTGTAGTTACAAATGCAGAAGGACTAATTTATATAGAGGAATGTATTCAAAAAATCGATCCGTCTGCCACTTCTAAAACCAACTTGAACATCTGCTTTTGCTATATTTTAAGCTAATCTTTCGTGTTCCATCGCTTTGCTCTTCAATGTTGGAAAATAGGGAAATAGATCTCTATGTTCCTGTGCAGTTTTTCCCCTTTAATCCTATAAATTTAATTTTAATAGCTATTTTTCGTTATTTTGTCAGAGTTAATATCTTTTATTTTTTATTTATATATATGCTTTATGTGCAAATTTCATATAATATTTTGCCAAAAAAAGGAAAAAAAATCGAATAATAATTATTTAATGGAGTAATGTTGAGTAGTGTTTTTTTAATAGTTACTCCCTCCGTCCTTATTATAAGAGACATTTGATATTTATGGCATATTCCTATATATAAGAAACACTTAAAAGTTGTCTCTATTTTTTTGTGTTGATTTTCTATTTTACCCATATTTATTGTCTTCTACTCACACTCTCTTTTCTTCCCATTTTTTTTTCTTTTAATAAATTACCATTGTTCTCTTTCCTTATTAATGAGGGCATTTTTAGAAAAAAAATTATACTTTTTATATATTAATTGTTCTTAATTAATTTTAACTGTTTTTTTTATCAACATAATTCGATTATTCATCTTTTATAATAAGAAACAAAGGGAGTATTAAGCAACGGAGGATAATGGTTCAAAGGAATATTGGGAGTTCAGACTCCAATACAAACTGAAATAATTCTTGTGTGCCGGCCGGTTACCGTAGAGGAAAAATTACAAAAGAGAACTTCATTCATTGCCCCTGGCCCAGCTCATTTAAGATTGTCATAACCCAAAATATCTCTGAAATCGAATTCCCTAAAATTGACAACCTTACAAATCACGATATCCCAATATACATCTCATGATTGCCACTTACTAGTGAGGGAAAAGAAAAGCAGATATTTTTCGAAGCGATGGTTACGGTTCCTTAAATAAAACGTGAACAAGCGGCACAATCGGGCATAATAAGAAGACTCCATATCTATCTATTTATCTATTTCACGAAATGAGCATTCGTCCATATCTTGTGACTATTTTTGACTGGGTATTGAAACGCACTCAGAACTGGAAATGTCTCTTTTCACAAGGAATCTATCCCAAATATCAATTAGTGCCCAAGAGAATTCGAACAATATAATGATTGCATTTGTTTAAACCATACTAGTCTTTCATACGCCTACTAAGTAGTGAATACTAACCAACAGCTACACAAGAACGGAGAGCAGATTAAAAGCAGAAACAAGTTTTTGAATATCATATGTAAGTAAAGCCAAGAGCCAACCAGCCGGAACTATCAATGAACCGGCAACAGGAAGTTGCAGCAGCAGCACATAGACACCTTTAATCTTCCTTTTCTTGGCTTCATTCGTACTCTGCGAGTTCCTCCTCCTCCTCGTATTCCTCATCATCAGCAGTTGCATCCTGGTACTGCTGATACTCAGAAACAAGATCATTCATGTTACTCTCAGCCTCAGTAAACTCCATCTCGTCCATGCCTTCCCCAGTGTACCAATGCAAGAAAGCCTTTCTCCTGAACATGGCTGTGAACTGCTCGCTCACCCTTCTGAACATCTCCTGAATTGATGTCGAATTACCAATGAAGGTGGATGCCATCTTCAACCCAGTTGGGGGAATGTCACAGACGGTTGATTTCACGTTGTGTGGAATCCATTCCACAAAGTAGGAGGAGTTCTTGTTCTGGACATTGATCATTTGTTCATCAACCTCCTTTGTGCTCATCTTCCCTCTGAACATGGCTGAGGCAGTGAGGTAGCGTCCATGCCTTGGGTCAGCAGCACACATCATGTTCTTTGCATCCCACATTTGCTGGGTTAGCTCAGGAACACTAAGAGCTCTGTATTGCTGAGAACCTCTGGAGGTCAGAGGTGCGAAACCAACCATGAAGAAGTGAAGGCGAGGGAAGGGGATAAGGTTGACGGCCAACTTCCGGAGATCAGAGTTTAATTGACCAGGGAACCTTAAACAGCATGTCACTCCAGACATGGTTGCCGAAATCAAATGGTTCAGATCACCAACTGCTCAATAGAAAATTGCACGAGTCAGTTCTGTATGATCATTAAATTAAATTTAACTAGGTAAGAATAAAAAACTGCAGAAAAAACTGTTAGGTATCATCTTCATTGTTGGAATAAAACATGTATTAAGAGTTGTTGCATGGATAAAATCTTACAGCTTGGTGTGGTGAGCTTCAGGGTGCGGAAGCAAATGTCATAAAGAGCTTCGTTGTCAAGTACCATGCACTCATCTGCGTTCTCAACTAGTTGGTGGACGGAGAGCGTAGCATTATAGGGCTCTACCACAGTGTCAGAGACCTTGGGAGAAGGGAAGACTGAGAAAGTAAGCATCATTCTGTCTGGGTATTCTTCTCTGATTTTTGAGATCAAGAGAGTACCCATTCCAGATCCAGTTCCTCCACCGAGTGAATGGCATACTTGGAATCCTGCAAACCGCATCAAATTCGAAGTTAACGTCAACGGATGAAAGGGTAAGGAAAATAGAACAGTAAATCAATTTCAAAGAGAAGATCGTCTCCGAAAACAGCTAGCAAATGGGGGATGATGACGGGTAAAAGTACGTTTGTAGCATCTCTTCGGCAAAAAAAAAAAACGACATATTCTGTAAGCAGTTTCGGTCAAACAGGGAAAACTATATATTCTATAAGCAGTTGCAGTTAATTTGCCATGGCTTCATTCCACAAAACATGGCATGAGATCTGGAAAAAAGAAGTTACAGTGACCATAAAACCACCAAAAAATCACAATTTGTCCGTTTAGAGAGGAACACTTAATTTTTTTTAGCCATAGAACAGATCAAACATCTCTGACAGATCCACTGGAAGTTTTCACATTCTCTAAAGCAGAAAACATGCATACTGGCCATTTACAGTTCATTTATCAAGAAAGTAACGAACACTTATTCGTAAAACAGAAAGATGATCCATAAACTCCGAAAAGTCACGGTTTTAATTTTAAGTAAAGCGATAGATAGATACCAAAAACAACAAGGGGAGAAAAATCATGAAAAAAAAAAATGAAATGTTGTAGTCAAAACATACCCTGCAAACAGTCACAGTTCTCGGCTTCTTTTCGTACAACATCAAGAACGGCATCGATGAGTTCCGCGCCTTCAGTGTAGTGACCTTTTGCCCAGTTGTTTCCGGCACCAGACTGTCCAAAAACGAAGTTGTCGGGCCTGAAAATCTGTCCGTACGGTCCAGATCGGATACTATCCATAGTTCCTGGTTCGAGATCCATAAGCACACCTCTCGGCACGTACCTCCCGCAACTGGCCTCGTTGTAGTAGACATTAATCCTCTCGAGCTGCAGATCCGAGTCTCCATGGTACCTCCCGGTGGGATCGATGCCGTGCTCGGCACAGACGACTTCCCAGAACTTGGCACCGATTTGGTTACCACATTGACCACCTTGAATGTGAAGGATCTCACGCATCTTGTATCTGAAAAAGAAGGAAACGAGACGAAGTAGGGTTCAAGGTGTTTGCAGAAATGCCAAAAGACAGTGAGGGGAGAGAGAGAGAGAGAGATTGAAGGGTTTGTGAGCGTGGGGACGAATGAAGATTCTTTTTTATAGAAAAGTGGTTGGCGTTGTGGTTGGAGCAACGGACCAACGGTTAGATCTTGAATGAGAAAGCATATGATTTGGCTTCGAGCGAGGTCTGAGCTGTAGAATTCTTGGTATTGGATATTTAGGGTTGTGATTGAGTAGCGCAACGGGCGGATTGAATGGACGGACGAGATTGCGTTATTTTGAAATTTGAATTTGAAATTTGAAAACACCTCCGTTGTTCTTCCTATTTTTGAATTTTGAGGCTGCTCATTTCCGGGGAAACCAAAACAAAAAAAAAGAGGAGAATTCTCTTTCAATGAGCTGGTGGCGTTACTATCCAGACAAAATTGCTGGATTTCAAAACTTTTTTAACTTTTCCCTTACATGGAGATTTGTAAATGAAATCTTACTAACGGAAAATAAGTTATATATGCTATTTTTAATTTTTCCTTTTAGTTCAAAAATAGTTCTTTCTGTCATAGTACTATTTTATTTTATTGAAAAGCTCCAAATAAAAGTTAACTCAATTTGCTTATTTTTTTTCCCTTGCTATTTGTTGAGTATGTAAGATATTTCAAAATTAGAAGAGAATTGTCATCTGTTTCTTTTCCATCGTTGTCAGTAAGTACGTTTAGACATTTTAAAATTATCTGGCCACAAAAAAACTGTTTCAAAATTAGAAGAAAATTTTTATTATCTGCAGTGGATAATATCTTATGTGAGAATAAAATATTTACTTATTGAAAACAATTTTTTGATTTTTTTGATTATTTTCTTTTTTGCCAGCTATGTTTTAATACGGATATTGCAGTTGCTCTGCAAACCTCACACTTAAAAGGGAAATTGATATCATAACCATAAGAAATTAACGTTGCGTAATGATTCATTACAAAGCAATTAACGTTGTCGTTAGCATTGACTATTATATTAGCAAGAAAATATATTTAAATACAAAACTTTCTAAATTGTGGTGGATCTTATGAATTTAATAAGTTGAATGGATTTTTTTTTCCCAAAGAACTGAATTTAAATTGATTGACTGGACCCCACATTTGTTTACCATCTCTAAAAAATCTGAAAGAAAGAGAATCAATCATAATTACTGAACAGAAACTTGCCCCAAGTTTAGGGCAACAATATTCATCGTGTCTAAATTCAATTAAAATTATCGATATCAATCTCACTTCGCTGTCCAAAAGAATATCTTGATTCATAAAAGGGGCTTCAAACCCTGCCGAGTCTAACAAAACCTTCTCCTTGATTAAAGAAACAAAAACAAGATATCTATAATTAATTTTAATGGCAATAACAATATCAAAATCTCTCAAAAATTCTCTTTGATAGGCAAATAAACTGCATTCCGCAATATTTTATGTACCTTTTAATAAAAATACATACACTTTTTTCGTATGAAAGACTGTATTACAGAATTATAAAATATCCAAAGAAATATGATTGTCTTCATACCAATAAAACATCTGCATTCTGGTCCACATATATACCCATTCACACAATTCTCTCTCCTTTCCGCGGTTTCCCTCAAAATTATTAACTATGACTTTTATGGGTTTGTTCAAGCCACTAGGGTAATTTTATTTACTCAGGGTTTGTTTGAGATCACAATTAAAATTATTTATAAACACATTTTACATAAATCGAAATAAAATTCTTTTCACATATTTATCTCACATTTCGTAAATTACAATTGCTAAACAAACATTTATTGTCGAGGGATTGAATTTATCAATGAAGGAGGGTTTCAATCTTAGATGACAGAATCTCTATTCTTTTTTTGGGATCTTTAACCCTTCGAGAGATGTTTAGACCAAAAATATAACATCGATAGAAATGATGAATTTGGAAAATATACATACACGCATATGGAAGGCTTTTTATGGCCTCAAGTGACAAAGAACAAATTCCAAGACCACTCACAATCCTATCAATGTGCAATATGATTAAATATAATAATAGACTATGCTTTCATAACTAAATATCCCACATCTCAAAGAGCCTTATGCTCCATTTGGTGCAATTGGATTAAGGCCGGGGGATTAGAAGTGAAAGTGGAACTATAAAATTGGGCTGTTTGGTGTGTTGAAATCCACTTCTTCATGGAACTCACTTCTAACAAAACTCTTCTCACATACTTACCTCATATTTCATAAATCATAATTGCTAAACAAACTTTTATTATTGAGTGATTGAATTTACCAATGAAGGAGGGTTTTGATCTTAGATGATAGAATCTCTTTTTTTTTTTGGGATCTTTAACCGTTCAAGAGATGTTTAGGCCAAGGACATGACCACAATAGAAATGATGAATTTGTAAAACATATATGTGTGTATATATATATACCCACACATACATACACGAGGCTTTTTATTGCCTCAAGTGATAAAGAACAAATTCCAATACCACTCTTGACCACTCAGAATCCTATCAGTGTGCAACATGATTAAATATAACAACAGACTATGATCTCATCACCAAATATCCCACATTTCAAGGGAGCCTTATGCTCCATTTGGTGCAATGGAATTGGGGCTAGGGAATTGGAAGTGGAAGTAGAACTATGAAATTAGGTTGTTCAGTGTGTTGAAGTCTACTTCCTTCTGGAACTCACTTCCAGGAAAAATGATGGACGTGGATTCCTTGGGCGTACCCAAAAACTGAGATAAGTTCCATGGAAGTGAAACTATATGACCATAATACCCTCATATATTTTATTAATTCACAGTTTTTCCCTCCTGCCCTACTTTATCTCTCCAATTTTGAGTCTCGACAGCCTGTATTTCTCTCTCTTCCTGTAATGGCCAAGTGCAGTAGTGGTAACAACAACGATGATGAAGTATTGTAACAGCAAGCTTTGTCACCCTATCCCATCTTATTCTGCCTCCATCGTTCCCTCCCTCTTTCCTCGTCCACATCTATCGCAAGCTTTGATCTGGACATCTGACAATAAAGAAGCTTGCAGATCTGAGTAGCTAACAAGGTGGAAGCCTTGATCTGACAATGGAGAAGCTTTGATCGTGTTAAGCTTCGATTTCTCTAGATCATGTGTCAAAACTCCAAACTTTTGTCTTCTTCTCCAACTCCAAATCTTTAACCAAATGGTGGGCACTACAGTTAGAATCCCATGATTCGCGATTCGAATCATGCAATTCGAGACAAAAGAGACAATAAAATATTCAAATCTCCCATTGTATCTTTTTGTGGCCTAAATTATACAATTCACACCAAAATCATGCACTTGAGGTAGTGTTGAATTGCACTGGATCTGATTCAACCCATTAAAAAAACCTTTTTATGTATACTTTTTCTGATTATTTTGTTATTTATAGGAGGCAATTTGCTGTACAAATACTCTCTAACGTACTTATCCCTCCAACTCATCAAATATCAATCAAAACCCTAATTATTTATTCCCTAATTGATTTTGGGGGCTCCGTCATTGAAATTTGATATGTAGTTGCTTTTTTTTTTTTTTAAATTTCTTATGAGCTGTATTAAAACCTAATATCTACGAACTTTTGATATTCTCTTCTATAAAATTACTTATATGTCATTTTTAATAATTGTTTAAGAGTTTTACAATCCACTATACATTTCGATTCAAGATCCAAAAAATTTGCTTTCCGATTCACAATTCATACTTTGATTTGATAACCTTTTCTAAAAAAGACACAATACACTGCACAATCCCGACCCAAAATGGCATTCTCAAACAGTGTGGTGATTTCTTGTTCCTAGTTTGATTTCTTTTCTGAAAGAGAACATAACAGCAAGAGAGCTATTTGAAGAAGGATATGACAAGTCAACAGATTGTACAGCAAATTAGCACTCTCAAAACACCCTCCTCCGTGAGACTGCCATCCTTGTTCTTGGATGAAAGAGATTTTGTTCTTTTGAGATCTTGTTCTTTTTTCAGATTGTAGTTTTGAATTGATATGTGATTTTTCAGCTTTCTATTTTTCAGATTGTGATATGTTGATGCTTTTGGATGGATTCTTCGATTTTGGTTTGCTGCGTTCTTTTCCATTCAGGGTGATTCAAGTTGATTATTTTGTGCTCTTCCTTATATTGCCAATTCGATCTTGCCAATAAAGGATTACCCGATAGTAGTTTGGGTAGACTAGCCGTGGATGCCAGGGAGGGCGGAGAGTTTTTTTTTTTTTTTTGGTAAAAGGTATTTTAGTAACTTCATATTAAAAATACATATTTGATTAAAAATTATATCCCACCTCCATCATCTTACCAAAAGTGTTTTAAAAACCCACTTCCCTTCCCATTTCCACTTCTACTTGCACTTCTATTTCCACTTCCACTTCCATAAAAAACTCTTCCACCACACCAAACGTGGCATTAAAGAAAATATAATGATGATGAAATGGTTATGCCTCATTTGGTATCATGAAAGCTTTTAATGGAAGTGGAAGTGAAATTGGAATTAGATGTGGAAGTGGAATTAGAAGTGGGTCTTAAAATGTGTTTGGTATGACAATAGAAGTGGGGTATTATTCTAATTTAATACTTGTATTTATAATATAAAAAGACTAATATGCCCTTATCAAAAAATAAAATACCAACCCTAACCCAGATATCAAACCCATTGTTCAGTCACCAGAAGCCATGGCAACCATCCAAAAGGCAACCATCGTCGAAAAATTAGAAAACACAATCAAATACAATGTATTCTAGTTTAGAAATAACCAATCTCAATAATGATCAAACCCAAAACAAAAGATTTAAAAAGAATCATACAAACCCAACCTATTTATCAAAGATGCAAAGATGGAAGATGAGAGAAGCAAAAACAAAAGACAAGAGTAGGAGGGTCTGTGGATCATGAGCGAAGGCAAAAGAGGGAGGGGACCGATCGAGACTCGGGGTTGGAATCATGAACGACAAAGAGAAGGGGGGATCACCACTGCCACACAAGAGGCTGAGGGTCATCGCTGTCGCACAAGAGGCAGAAGGTCACTAGTCAAGCACCATGCTTTCCAAGCTTGCTAAAAATGGTGAAATTTGTCAGAACGATGAAGCACAAACCTAATGAAGATAAGTGTGGAATCACACTTGGTGAATGTTATCAGCCGTTGGTGATGGTTGTGGTGGTCAAGTGCTACCACCGGTCCAGTACTGTCGTTGTCGGTGAGTCCCTAATGAGTGCCATTGCCAATAGTCGTGGTTGGGCCAACGAAAGCCGGAGGGAGGCTTGAAGGTTAGGGATGAGATATGACCTTAATTCCAAGGAAGTGGTTTGAGTTCTATAAAGGGGGCGATAGAAGTGAGTTCCAACAATTTTGTTGGAAGTGACTTCCATGGAGAACCGGATTCCTACTACCAAATGCACCAAAGACAGTTCCAATTCCTTGAAGGGTAAGTTTGAGTACTGCGGGGGAGCAATGGAAATGAGTTCCAATGATTTTGTTGGAAATGCCTTCCATGGAGAACTAGATTCCTACCACCAAACGCACCAAAAACACAGTTCCAATTCCAATTCCACTTCCCCAGCCTTAGTTCCATTGTACAAAACGTGGCAATAGAGTTCATGCTCTGAAGGGTAAGACAGGGCTCATGGGTTCCAAACCTCAACTTGAAGTTTCTATCTCTTTACACTTACCCAGCAACCAATGTCAACTACAGTGATGATATTCATCACTGAAAGAGCAAGTGTATACAAAGTTTTGCATCTGTTTTACGATTCATATTTTACTTTTCTTTAATTTCTTATATCTATACATGGTTTCCAAAGGATTGAGAAATTAAATTCTTCCACATTTATAGCAACCCTAAAGGAAAACAAACATGCAGGTAGGAGTAGAAAATGATAAGATGCGACTGATAATGATAAAGCCTTATAATAAGTTCAGCTCATTTTACCACTGAAATGCGACTCGATTTTTGCATGATACACACAAAAGAGCATAGACTTTCGGTCTGGCTCTTCAATTCATCCAGTGAACAACTTCACAATTATGGTGATAATATTCAATAGTATAAGGGGAAGTCTCAGGAACTGACAGGCATGTATAAGCCCTATAATCTGCCCTTTGAGGGTACTTCTCCTGGGTCCTGTTAGTTCTGCTATTGTCCATCCTCTGGGAGCAAGAAAACGTTCTTCATTCAGTATTGCCAATGCATTTGCAAAGAGTAGAAACCCTTCTAACAAGGTCCAAAAACCCATTTTCTGCCAAAATATGAACCATCAAAGGATTCTTTATGCACAAAATAGATACAGCCTTTACCAACAACTAAATATAGATTTTGAAGTGGCAAACACATGCTTAATCAAGGCAAAACAAAGGATTAGGAAGAGAGAAGAGAGAGAGAGAGAGAGAGAGAATTTGAATATTTGATCATGGAGCTACCACCAATCATCGGTGGGGTCATTAAGGATGGATACTAAGAATCTGCCAGGTCTAAGATCCATCAATGTTTAGTGCCAAGGCTCAATGAACAGAGACCTCTAAAACAAAGTTGAATTAAAGAAGTTTTTATTGATCGCTCATGTAATCTCCATATGGTTGTGGCAGGATTACTGAGTGGGTTTTTCTTTTTCCAATCCTTTCTTCTTGCTTTTCTTTTTTAGGCATGGAAGGGAGGTGAAAAGAAGGTAGTGAGTAGATTCTGTTTCTCAACGATCTTTCAAGCCCCTCAGAGATTACATATTACTTGTCTATATATCGGCGCGCTGAGTTACATTGTGAGTAGTAGCCATGGCAATATATGCCAGCAAAGAAGCAACAATGCTGACAAAGATATCACATGACATGACCATAAGGTATAGAGGGTCAAATGTAGTTTGAAGTATTGTGTCATATTTGGTGGGGGTAATGGATGCTCCGAAGTTTTTGATCCAGAATTTCTCCAACGTTGCCTTTGAAAGAAAAAGAGAATATTTTATGTTTTACCAAAAAAAAAAAAAAAACCATAAAATGGTTTTATGTTTTACAAAAAACAATATCATAAAATGGTGAAAGTATAAAAGGGGAAACTTTATAGAAATTCAGAGGTCTCAACTTCAACTTCAGAGGATTCATTCGCTTTGATAGGAGGTTCTGATACGATGGGTGCTTCACAGCAGGGAAGGCGTGAAGCTTAGGTATCCAAAAGGAAATCTAGAAGCTTCAACAGGGAATCCTAATTCAAAATCGATTTCTCCAGTTTGAACAATTTAGTTCATTTCTTGCCCCGGCTCATGGTAGGCAAAAATCACAGATTTTTTTGTTTTTAATCGGATGCAATTTGCAGTCAGTTTTGTCAGCAAGAACAACTTGGAAATTTTCTCATCCGAAACAAATCAATTATTGAAGCTATTAACACCAGGAGCACAAATTTATACAAATTTACCCTAAACAACAAAGCCACATATTCAATCTCGCATCAAGAAAAGTCAATCGAAAAAATAAACCACGTAATTACAAATTTTGCGGGCCCAATGACAAGATCGCCAAAGGATGGCTCAAAGCAGGTTCAAAGGAACAGAACAAGAGAAGACTTCAGTTCTTACCGGAGAAAACGAAACAGTTCAGAAACGGCAAGCTCCAGTTCAGAACGAAAGACCCCGTCGCGAAGTTTAGAAATTTCGAGAAGATCTTTGGAATTGCAAGTCCTCCTTTACTCGACTGCACCAGGATCAGACGGTACAGAATGACTTTACCAACGCATCTGTTAGGTAATATCCTTTGGATGTTATGCCCGCGTGGCACTCCTTCGGTCATTTTCAGCATGTTTAAAACTTTAAAAGGAAAATTGTAACAAAGTCCGACCTAAGAAAATTAAATACAAAACAGTCTCTTAAAATTATTAAATTATTCTGAAATCTTAAAAGATATCGTTGTAAGAAAATTTATTTATTTAATTACTAAATTGCCTTTTTTTTAAATTTACATTAACAACTGAAAGAGTAGTGGTTGACAATTAAAAGTGTCTATGTGGCGCAGTGGCATGGTAGCCATCTGATGGTGGCCTTTAACAGGGTTCGATTCCTGTCCACGAGCTTTGCTTGCGTACTCCAAAAAAAAAACAACAATCTAGTAATTAAACAAAATTTTTTTTACAATAAGGTCTCTAAGGACTTCAAAATAATTTGGTAATTTTAAAGGACCTTTTCATATTTAATTCCTTTAGGTGGGATCTTATTGCAATTTTTCTAACTTGAAATTGCATATATATGGACGGTAAGCAATCTCATATAAGAAAAGGAATATAATTTTGAATTTTAAGAAACATATTTATTTGGAAGATTTTAATCTTAACGTTCCCTATCCAACAAAAATTACTCTCAAAATAATTTGAGAATACTCTGAATTATATTAAAAAAATGCATATTATCTCAAATAAAAACTTTAAACTGTAATAATTCTGTATTAAAATACACTAAATTTTTAATTTTCCTTTTATTTAATATATATTTTTTAAAAAAATTAACAATCCATACTATAATAAATGACAAAATAGTATATCCATGTTAAAAGTTTGATAATGTAACTTTCAAATGAGATTAAAAAATTAAAAAATATTTCTAAAATTTTAAAATCCTAAATTAAGAAAACTGTAAAAATACATCATCATTTATTTTTTAAATATTGTCAATTATTATTAAAATATACCAATGAGACTAATTTATAATTTTAAAATTTAAAAGTATTTTTTGGGGAGGAACTCCCTTAAAAAATCCCCCTTCCCTATGATAAATAGTTCTAGAGCAATATTATCAAGAGTTTTCTAAATTGACTAATTAAGGCGTTTGCTATGTGTGTGTATATTTGATACCGCAGGAAGTAAAAGCAAAGCCAAGCTACTCAATGGTCCCATTTGATACAAAACATTGAAAATAAGAGATAAAAACTAGGATTATGATTAAAAAAATTTATTAAAAAAATATTTAATATGAGTAATTATTTATTATATAAGATTAGATAAATCCATGGAGGTAAGATTAAAAAATACCATTTCCCCTCATAGTATTCTTCACTCTCGCATACGTGTTTGTATAATTCTATATAACAAGCAATATTTCATTTTAAATACTCTTTTAATAATTTTTCTCAACATCAGTTCCAATCCAGGTATCTTGACCGGGAGACAACGTAAAAGCAGCAGCATCAGTACGAGTGAGATGAAGGCCAGCAGGCAAACTCAAGGCCCTCTTCGCTGGCACATCAGCATCTTGGCTTCTGTCTCTGTTAACATATCTCAACCCCACCTCCCATTCTCGTCGGAGCAAGGCGTTCCCTTCGGCGATCAGGTCCCTGTGACTATGCAGATCATTGGCGCCTTCGCAAATCAGTCGTAGAGCTTCTCTGACGTCGCTCCACAGGAAAACTTAGCGGTCGCCACTCTCCCAAGCTCGGCGCATACCCATTATACAAGCCCAGAGTTGTGCATCCTGAGGTGGCACTTCCATGAGCATACGCTCCGTCGACATAAACCCCCACTCCACCAGCAGGCAAGTTCGTGAATTCATCCCCTCTCCACGGAGGGTGACTCCCGTGAGTTTCGCAGCAGCCGAACCAAAGCTAGCTACAACCGCCCTCGCCTTGCGAAGGATAAGTTATATTCTTTTCCATACAAAGACAAATAACTGTTTCGGTCACAATTTTTTATTGCCTTTTAAATTTTGTATTCCAAAAGTAGGGGAGAAGCCTCCTAGAAATCTAACAATGAGAGAAGAGGTTGGAAGATGAGGTGAGTTGGGTCAAAGTGAGGCAGCATCAGCGCCGGTCCGGCCCTTTAGGACTGGCAGGCTTAAAAGGACCGGCCTTCCAGGACTAAAATTTTAAAAATACCCCAATTTACTAGACCCGGCCCTTAAACTACAGGGCCAGGACTGGCCCGCGGGCTTTTGTCCGTTTAAGAAAAAATACTATTTTTTATATTTATCATATTTTTTTATAAAAATATAAAATTAAGTCACAAATATAAAATATTATCATAAATAAATATTCATCAACATCTAAGAACATCTAAAACATTCATTAACAAGATAACAACATCTAAAAGTTTTATCTATAATGCAATTGTGTAATAAATAAACACTATCATTAATCTTTTGAAACTTCATCATCACTATAATTAATTATTTTTCTTCATAAGTATGCTTCTCTTTCGTAACAAAAATATCAAGTTTTTCTTCTTTATAAGAATTTTATTTTTAAATTTTGCAATCTAACTATATTTTACTTTAATGTGAGAAACATTGTTGTTGAAACTCATGAATTTCTAATTCAAATTATAGAATCACAAGTTATATAAGTATAAAAATATTCTATTATCAAATATATATATAGTTTAAAAATATCAACGCATATAATATAAATCAAATCATTATTAAAGTCCAAATTAACCCATTTTTTAAAAATTTAATTGGATAAATTATTGTCTAAAACTAAATTTAATTTTAAAATGATAATAATAACTAAATATTTGAAATATTTTTAACAATGTAAAAAATTAATAATATTAATATTATATAAAAAATTTAAAAAAAAAAAAGAGGGCTTAAAAGGGCCGGCCCTTTTAAGCCCTCGGCCCTCCAGGGTTTATTTCTCATTTTAAGAGAAAAATATCAAGCCCGATCCTCATAATTTCAGGGCCTAAAAGGGCCGATCCGACGGGCTCGACCCGTTTTTCCGGCTCTAGCTTGACTGGTTTATATGCATGTATTGCTTCCGACCCTTAATATAAAAATTAGTTAACTAATTTAAATAGATTAAAAAATTAATTAAACTAATCATTTGTAATAAATAGGTGTTTTCATCTCTAAAATATCCTTACTAATTATGTGTATTAGTTTGAATTATCATTTCATGAAACATTTATGGAGACTATCTTAAAAAAATCAATAAATATCAAATATGAGAGAATTAAAATGAAACCTTATATTTAGAACTAAAATAAATATTAAACAAACTCTTATATTAACAAGCGAGATAACATAGCATAGACATATTTTATCCCCACCGAAGCATATTAAGATCAAAAGAACTTGGCCCGAAAAAGCGTGTCAAGAACTATAATTGATTTCACTCGAAAGAAAAACATGTTATTATAAATTTGAGAGTGTGATGTTTTAATGATATTTCCCTATATTGTGCTAAATATAAAAAAACCACTCATATTTTCAGAACTTGTAAATGGCCGAGAATGACAATTGAAAATCATATTAAAAAAAATCTATAACTCCCATTTCATTATATATGTTGATATGTTGATTACATATAAGGCTCTATTTGGATAGCACCCCAAACCATGGTTTGGGGACCCAAACCATGGTTTGGGAAAAATGCTACCCAAACAGCCTCTCCAAAAACCAAAACCATGGTTTTGACTCCAAAACCATGGTTTTGGAAAAAGCAAAATTTTTTTGTTTTTGGAGAAAAAAAGGGAGAGTGTGAGGGCCTATATGATATGTATCTTGTTATTTTTTTTATAAACATATTTTTTTATAAATATATTTAATCTTATATTTTATAAATATATATAGACATTAATTATTTATTAATTATATTATCTTATGTATTATTAATTATGTTGGTAAAAAACATATTATTAACAATTTTATTTCTTCAAATTAAAATATATCATAAAATCTATTTTTTCTGTAATTATCATATTAACTTATGTCTTTTTTTTAGTAATTTGTATATATAAAAAGTGTTTCTGATAACAACTATCCAAACACTCTCACTTCTCAGAATCACTTTTTTACAAAATCTATTCTTCACATAATCTATTTTTTCCCGAATCTATTCTCCAGAATCACTTTTCCAAACCACGGTTTGGTTTCATCCAAACACACCCTTACACTATGAGAAAGTTGGCTTGTTATAGCCAACATATACCTACGTATAACTTTAAAAAGTTAAATGATTTTGACCCATGACTAAAATTGTCTGAAAATTACAGTGTTGAAAATCTCGTGGTACTTATAGTGCGAATAATTTTTCAAGGAGCCTTTTATTTGCTTTGACAATTAAGTAAAAGCATCCCTAAACTTTCAATTTTTTAAAATCACAACTTTTTCAATGCACGAAGGAATAATAATGGTACACAGGCATTACCATCTAACAAAGAATATACTATTAACAATATATCTGTGGAAACGTGTGAAGCTAAACTTCTACTCTGGACTGGTATCAAATGTTACATTCAAATATCAAATGATGCTCCATGTGGCAGCTTATGATCAAAGAAAGAATCAATGAATGAATGAATCAGTGGTATAACTCTCAGATCAATTGGCGTATATTCTGTCCAATCTCAATCAATCTCCCAGTATAAACTAACTCGACTGGCCTTTAAATATAGACAACCTTCTATTCCCTCCTGCATTGCTTGCCCCTCTTTTGGCCTTCTCAAGGTACTTGCCTAAACAAAAGCTTCTCTTTTAGTGGCATGAGAACCCCAAAAGCTCCATGGTCATTCACAGCAGTTGTCATCAACCAGGCTGTGAAATGAAGCATGTTTCCCACCACAACCCAAATGAGCGACCTCTTAGGCAGTGACATCATAAATCCATAATTCATAATCTACCACGAACACAGGCGTATGGGATGATCATACAGGA